GTTCCACTGTGTGTGAGGTAGAGGCACATCACAGACCTCCCCTCTCCCCAGGTTCAACTTTAAAATAATCTGTCATGTCAAAAAAACCTGGTGCCTCTCTAACTTTATGTGTTTTCCTGCTTCTTTCTTGTTCTCTGCAGTTAATCATGGGCTTGGGCACCCAGGGGGCAGAGAAGAAGAGCGCAGCATCCATCGCCTGCTTCCTGGCAGCTAATGGAGCAGACTTGACCATTCGTAACAAAAAGGGCCAGTCCCCTCTAGACCTGTGTCCGGACCCCAGCCTCTGCAAGGCTTTGGCCAAATGCCACAAAGAAAAGAGCAGGTAAACGTTCTCATCTGACATTTTGCCGAATTGGATGTGAAGATCGATGCCACTCATGACTAAACAGTGAATATGAAGTTGGAGCCAGGAGGTACCGGGCCGAGCTCAGCATAAAAAAGCAAGCGTGGACAATCTGTACAAAAGCTTAGGTGAAACGGTTTCACAGAACATTATGTGCCAGGCTGTTCCTTGGCTAGCTGCTTCATGGAGTCTCAGGAATTCAACACACAACCAACCTTAAAGCTGGAAAGTTAACATGCTTATGATGCCTTTTTGTCCATCAACAAGATTACACAAAAATTACCAAACTGAATATCATGAGACTGAGCAGATGTGTGGAGCATAGGGGACAGGAAAAAACTTGAAATTCTGGTGCTTTCATTGATTTTTTTTAAAACCTCAGATGCAATCATTTTTTATAAACTGTGGAGAGAGGGAAAAAAATCAAATGCATATTTAGCAAAAAGAATAAAGTATTTCCAATAGCACAATCAGAGTTCTAAGTATCCCAGGAACTTGTAATTAGACAGGCACAGAGTCAGACATCTCTTTTCAATAGCACCCAAGGAGCTGTGATAGGCCTTGGAGGAGGAAAAAACACTACAATTCCCGGGAAGATGACATCAGTTGCTGAACATAAAAACATGTCAAAATACATGCTGACAACGTGATGACGTATATTCCAACGTAGGAAGTGCTGTGAGCAGCTGATCAGATCCGTAGCGCGTCTGTGTCTGGGCTATAATGTTTTTGTTGTTGTATGCGCTTTTTACATGATATCTGTAAACCCATTAGTGAAAGGAAGCAGCGGTCTGGGACACATTGAATGGCATTAATTCTAGGTATGCACTAAAGGGTTAAAGATATAAAGGAAGAGATAACATTTTGGTACAGTCATGTTCTATTTTGTTCTTTTTATTTCATTTCCTCATCTTTCGTTTTCTCCGGCCTCTCGCTTGTAATCGTTACTCTCTCTCGCTCACACACTCTGTCTTCTGTTCCAGCGGCCAGGTGGGCACCCGCAGCCCATCTCTGAACAGCAACATCGAGTCACTGGAGGAGTGTATGGTGTGTTCGGACATGAAGAGAGACACTCTTTTTGGGCCCTGCGGACACATCGCCACCTGCTCCCTCTGCTCGCCTCGTGTCAAGAAGTGTCTCATCTGCAAAGAACAAGTGCAGTCGAGAACTAAGGTATCAAGAAGCACAGCCGCTACTTGACACAGACAGGAGTGAGGATTATTGAATTTTTTTAATTCTTGTGTTTGTCCGTCCACAGATCGAGGAGTGTGTAGTCTGCTCCGATAAAAAGGCAGCGGTGTTATTCCAGCCCTGTGGTCACATGTGCGCTTGTGAGAGTAAGTTAACTTCACCTTTCAGCATCATTTTGCCTCTTTTGGCTTCTGTGTGAGTATTAAAGCGAATATAGATTTTTTCTCTTGCACTGATGATCTTCTTCATCTTTCCTCCAGACTGTGCCAGCCTCATGAAGAAGTGCGTACAGTGCCGGGCTGTGGTGGAACGCCGCACCCCCTTCGTACTTTGCTGTGGAGGGAAAGGTATGGAGGATGATGCCGCTGATGATGATGATGATGATGATGATGATGACCTTAGTGAGTGAATTTTCCACACGTTTCCTTTTAATCCACCCCCTTTCTTCAAAGATTTTTCTTTTTCTTTTCTCATTTCTTTACTTTTTCCAAATAATCTGCTTTACTTTTATCTTTTGCTTTGTTGCTGCTTAGCTTTTGCAGTTTGTTTATGTTTGCGTCATTCTATCTCAAATCATCGTGGCCGTTCTGCTCGAGCATCCCTGAATCGCCTAAAAAGTTTATGGTCCAAAGTCTGGACATATATAATGATTGCTGGGAAATTTTTGCTTCATATATCAAATACGTTTTAAGATATATTACAAATGAAAATCTCACCACCATTTCTTACCATAAAAATTATATATACAATAAAATGTGGAATTTGCATCAAGAAATGTTCTGAATTTTTCAGCATAAAATATGGCAAAAAAAGATTAAAGCTGTCCTACAAATTTCCATGTTTGTGCACACTTTAAGAAAAATATTGATAGTGCAGAAATAATACAATACAATGTACCTGCATGTCGTGTTAATGCAAAACCACACATGCGAAAAATTAAGAAAAGTGTTGTTGTCATTCAGTTTTCTTGCACAAGTCAGCAAATATGATGTACTGTACCACAAAAACAAACAAACAAACGATCCAAAATCATCATCATATATATCCAGAGTTCAATCAAGGCACATTAAGGCAAATCAAAGGTGGCTGAGCAGAAAAAGTTATAAATATGTTATGATTTGAGGTGGAATGATCATCACTGTCATGTTTTCTTTGTATTTTTTCATCCATAGAGACGCATTTAAAAATATATATATAAATAAATAAAATTGTTACGCTTGCTTTCCAAACTGAATTCTACATCTAAATCTGTCATAATGTAATCATTAGAACCATTTGGCTCGCACCATTTGTAGTAGCCTCCACTTAGTGAACGGCAGCCTCACTGCCATGTCTGAAATCAGCACACAGATCTTCACAGCAGAGAAGATTTAGTTTCAAATCCCAATCTTTTAATGTAGAACCCTAGAAGCCATCTCCAGATTGACTTTTACTGAATAACATAATAATGTCAGAGCACACAGATAACCTTATTAATGTTCCTGTGGCCTCCAAAAGTTTGACTAATCACATTCACATAGAATGGATGAACTCATTTGTAAGCGTATCGCAGAAATGACCTGCAGCTCCTCCTATGATGCATGCATATAATACCCACATGAATCCACATTATAAGAGCTCCCCCATTTCTGAAAAGAAATATGGAGCAGTTATGAAACTGTGCGGTGTTTTCAAAAACATTTTTCCAGCTGCAAAAGAGCCAGTTTCGAATTATTTTACCTAAAATATTGTGATGACAAGATGCACAAGTTATTTTATTTTTGGTTGCATTCACGATTCATCTTTCTGTTCTGACAGCGGTGCATATCACTAGTGATTTCTTCTGTTTTTGTTTTAATTTGAGTTTAACAGTGGCACTGTAGCAAGTACGCAACTTTCATGTTTACACACATCTTAATTTTTTTAATTTCTCCATTTGTCAGCAAGTCGTACTTACCAGACGTGCAAAAGTGAATGCAGACCCAAGCAGTGACACATACACTCATGCAAGGGGCAGCATTGAATGCTTTTATTTCCCCCCTTTCCCCAGTAACCCTGCTTGTTGCTTCCTGTTTTAAAAGCAAATCTAGTGTGCAAAATATACCTGGCACTTGAAGCATTTTGACGCCATTCTTCTTTAATTTGGTGCATGGGTTTCATGTTTTACCTCTAACCCAGGCAATAGTCACCTGTAAGCAAAAAAAGGGGAAAAAACACATGCGACTTTAAGCAACCAGTAGAAGAAACTCTGTTTCCCTTTCTTTCCCTGATCACTGTTTCCAACTTGCTAGTTTTGCTTCTCAGATTCTTTCTCTGAACCTCTCATAGAGGCTATAGTGAGTAGTCTTGGTCATCAGGCCAGCCGCTGAGCTGGTGAGGGCAGCTCCTGCTATAACAATGTGACTGGTTATTCCCAGCAGGGAGCTCTAACAGTATGGCAGGGGGATCCCAGGATCTTCTCCAGCCCAACAATCTGGCACTAAGTTGGTGTAAGTATACCTCCATGATCCCCTCCCTTATGAGAGCCTTGTTTATAGAGAACCTCCAGCAAACCTACACCCCCCACCCGAAGGTGCTGCCCTGGCCCCTCTCCCCCTTAACCCCCTTTCCTCCATTTCTCTTTCAGTGTGATGATATATATATACGTACGATGCACATCCCAGGAGTCACACTGGTGCTCGCCGTGTTCTGGCAGATGTTTGGACAGCGAGAATAAGTCTCAGGAGGGCATCAGTCCAGAAAATTTGTGTCGAGCACTTAAATAATCCGTTCAGGAAGTTTCACACACGTTTCATTATATACGAGCGAGCAAGCGAGCGCTGCATGATCATTTGTCCTGTGCCAGTTTATATTCCAGATAATTGCAAAGTGTGCTTTTCAGAAATCAAATGTAAAAGCAAGTTAGCGCGGACTGCCAGAGCCCGAGCTCGTTTGCCAACAGTAAACTTCAGCGCGCATGTGTTTGTGATCCTTCTCCATTTTCCAAAACCCATGTTTTAAAACGTACTCGAGCACCCGGCTCGTTTCAGAGCGGTAATGTTGTTGTGGCTGCACTCACTTTTATTGGCAATATAGTTTATAGTTTAAGAGGTCAAATCTGAGGTATTGCCACTGGTGCTAATCTTTTGGCTGATAAGTGCAGTTTGTTTTATTCTCACCATCTGTTTGCGTCTTTTTTTTTTAATGTCCAAACAGCCAGCGGAAACATCCCAGCCCTGCAGAGAGACAAGGCGAACACCAACGTCAACGCTGACGTGCAGAAGCTACAACAACAGCTCCAAGACATCAAGGAACAGGTAAGGTCACTAACCAGGTGTGGCTCGTGAACTAAAGCGCAGTTGAACTGCAAAACAATAACCATTGCTGTAAAATTCTTAGGGATCAAACGCACGCCGGCACCATAAAGTTATTGTGCAGGGCTCGGCTCGGTAGTAATACTGACATGCTAAATGTCGAAAGGGTTTTACTACGACTGTTGCTTACTTGTGTGCAGACCATGTGTCCGGTGTGCCTGGACCGGCTGAAGAACATGATCTTCATGTGCGGCCACGGAACCTGCCAGCTGTGCGGGGATCGAATGAGCGAGTGTCCCATCTGCCGCAAGGCCATCGAACGCCGCATACTCCTCTACTAGACCCGCCGACGAATTCTCTTTGCTTCTCTTAAAGCCCACGCTGAACACGCTCGCCACGCGGCAACCACACCTGCTGCTGCTGCTGCTGCCTCCATCCTCACAGCCACCCGCGTCAGCCAGGCACATCTAATTCTGTCCCACAAACGCTTTCTCAGTGGGTCGATTGTGTTCAGGTGGAATTCCTGTTACAAAACAAGGAAAATCGATGAATTGACTGAAGTTAATTGTGCTGTCCTGTCGCCGTCAGTGCAGCCAGAAAGAAAGACACCTGTTTCAGAGACTTCATCCTTTTCCCTCCCACCCCCCCATCTCCCTTTTTTGTGTTGTTTCCATTTATTCTCTCAACATTTCAAACAGTTTTCCCGTCTCGAGTCTGAAGTTCAGAATCAGAGTTTTGGATGTGATCACTTTGGGGTGAGAAGCGTGGAGGCGACGAAGGCGGCCTGTTACCGTTTGATATAAAGTTCTCATTCATCTGTTTGCAGTCCAGTGCCACTGCAGGCAGATTTTATTGTATTTGTAAACCTTTATTCAAGTGTATTTGTATTGGAAGCTCCTTTGTTTATCACGACAGTATGGTTGCAGCTTTGGCTATTGCAACGCTTTGCTCACCGACTGTCCCTGCTCTTAAAAACCAAATGTTGGCAGTTTTTGCACTAGAAAAGCAGGGTTTAAATACTCCGCCCCCCCTACGCTGACTCCAGGGGGAACCCTTGGAGCTCAGTGACAAAACGCAGATATAGTAGTGTAACTGCCAGGTAGCGTGCTACGCCCCATACTTTGTTTACTGAGCTGAGTAACGACAGCAGTGTTGCGACACCCTATCGGCTGCAGATTTAAGAACAGCCGTGTAGGGATTCAAGACAAACACAACAACTCTTTCGACTTCTGTCCACTGACACCCCCACCCCCCCCACCTCTCTTGTTGTAATTGTTTGTTCCACACACAAACCCACATGAGGCAAACATTTCTGTAACAGAAGAATCTTGTCGCAAGTTAGTGTTAAAGTGTTTTGAGACTTGTTGGTATTGTCTAGCAAACAAAAAATATATGTATATATAAATATATACAGTTCACTGAATTGCTAATTTATCGGTGATGACATCGTGCCATTTGCTTACAAAAAAAAAAACAAAACTTGTGAACGAACGTTGGGGGGGGTAAGGTGCTCTTTGTGTTACTATTTTTTAATTTAAGTGTATTTCCTTTTCTCAAAGTCTACCTAGTACAATCTATTACAACACTAAGATGAAAATATAGAGTAAATTATTTTGTATCGCTGCCCAAACAATAGGACTTGTAGGTGTCACTGCCTTCCTACGATGTAGCCTCAAAGTCTCTCAAACATTCTGCTCCAATCTTTGTGTTTTTTCCCCATTTTTTTGACAGTAGCTTTCTAGAAATCATCAGTAGAAGCTTTTTATTTTTTTGTGGCAGTTTTAAGGCAAACCTGTTCGTTTGTAAAACAAAACAAAACAAAAAAAAAAACTTTTTTGTCATAAAGTGTCTGTTTTTTGTGTTGTTATTTGAGAGGAAAGATAAACTTGCCTTACCTCTTTTAAAAAGCAGTTGCCCGTGCGGCGACTCGGCAAAGCGACTAACTAACTGCTTGGGAATTTGCAACCACATGCAAGCTAAATTTTTTTGCCTTTTAAGCAACTTTAGTACAGTTTTGTTTCTTTCCTGGTCACGACTCTATAAGCTAGAAGCACTAATACGCTTTATGGTAGTATTTTTTGTTATGGTTGTGTTTGAACAAAAAGCCCATTTGTTCTTTATTTTCAGTACCTGTAACTGTCCTTGTTAGACCTGTAGACGGTAGTATTTTCTTTGGCATGAATGTTTGACATATGCAGTACGACCTGTGTCAATAAAAGAAAACGTTCAGTCTGTATTGCTAATAAGTGCTTTTAAAAAAAACAACAAAAACAACCATATAGCTGAAATAAAGGCCTCCGTGAACCAAGAGACATTAAAGTCTCTGTTTGTTTTTAGATTCTCCTGAAATTTTAATGAGCTTTTCTTATGTTTGTTTTTGTTTTAAAGTTGAGCTCACGTGTTAGGGTCTTATAGGCGAGAAAATTAGCATTTTGTTGCTTTTCTCCTGCTGTGCAGTGTCTGCCCTCGCAGAGGAGACGGGTGGCCCAGAAGGGAGGCGAGAGGTAATAGAAAATGCTAACACCTCATAATGACTCAGCACCAGCGTGTGATAGGTCAGCTATGCTAATCAGAAAGAGACAGAAAAGTGCAAGAGTGGGGTGCGGCGCGGTGGGTTTAGGGAGTTTAGAGTGATGCATCTTCTCCGCTGAGCAGTGCGACAGCAGGGCATCTCCTGAGCAGTGAGAAATTATGACCAAAGGCCATTTATGTTCTAGCTCATTGACTAGTCCATTCATAACCTGGACGTCTTTGAGCTTGTCTCACATGCAGCAGCAGTATACAGCTGCTCAGAGCGAGACATCCATCATGCTGTCACCCTCTCACTCAGTGAACACTGTACAGGAGGCTCTGACAACTTTTTCATACCATCTTGGATCTCTGTGACTTTTTGCACGAGGCCCTTACAGATGCTGTAAAGTCTCCTGGCAAATCTGTGATGCTTGGTTATTTATATGCAAGCACTAGTCTTTAAAACAGTAGAAGACCATATGGTTGACCAGCTACATTGTTATACAGAGTCGCTAGCCTAAATCTAATTTAAACTACGTGTCAGTGGGATAAAAGCGACATACGTTCTTTTATGGATGGATAAAAGTGGTGTTGTTGACACAAATCTGTGGAGGCTTGTTTCCACCACTGGGAGTGGATATCTATGAGTCAAAAATTTTACCTACTAACTCAAACATCTGATAAAATAACTTCAGTGGCAGGAATGTGCTTCCATAAAGTCGTTTCTGGTTAAAAAGGCTAAAGCTGGAAATTTCCTAGCAGTAGCAGGTCATAGGCTTGACTACCAGTACACATTTACACACACACAGAGGGCAACAAGTTACTTATTTTTCTGAGACTAGTAAGAAACTGAACTGTTTGACTGATCTCAGCCTCATCTGGAGTCAGCTGTGAAGCTGTACCTTATTGCCCAACAATGTTGCAGACGTCATTGCTTCTCTGGAAATGTCTTTCACAAGAGTGACTTTGGTTTGGGATATTCAACCATGACATGTGAGTGTAATGTTCGCCTCATAAAGCCATAAACCATTTGAATACCATTACAAAACTGGCTGGTGGAGCCAGACTACTCTGTGTCCATCACTCTTGACTGACTGCAGACCCCGCTGCCATGCTGACTGACAGTCGGGGTGCCGGAGACGCTGCTATCTCTCGCCTTGCCGCTGCCTGATCCTGGGGAGCATCCCTGACCACCTCACCCACCAGTTTCAGCTGCTTGAAGACTCCAGTGTTTGCTGACGAGGCTGCGGGGGCCTGTTACTCCCACACCGGGGGGTCAGCTAATCCACTCGCTGCCCCGCGGAGTGTGAGTGATGGTGGCCCAGCACGGGCAGGCTTGAGTGAGCAGCAGATAGATATGAAACAAACCCCCGGAGAGCGGAGCGGGGCGACCACGATCAGAAAAATGACTGCTACCCCGCTTCGAGCCTCTGCTGTGATCACTGAGAAGGGTCAGTGACATCCATCTGTCGGAGGACTGAGCGTGCCGCAGGGGGGAGGAAGGTGTATGGCTCCCCACTCCCTCAGGCTTCGCCCTTGGCACTGGCTCTGAAGTTATGACCCGACAGACAGAAATAAATGCACTCCACACACATCTAACGTGGAGTGAAGTTCCTCACAGGGCTTGCACATGCAGAGCTCAGAGCACATCACAAGGTGGCAGTACACCCAGCGACTAAACACTACTGGTTTCTGCTGTCATGAAGGGCCTTGTATTTGTGGACAGCAACACAGTCTGTTTTGGTTTTAGACACCATTTTTCCTCATCCTGCAGCTCCAAAACGACCGCACCAGTTTAAATTTACGACTGCATGCAGAACATGACGAGCTGTGATCCCACAGGTCCTCTGCTAACTGAGCAAAAACGTACCCCTGGACCCAGAGGTAACACGCAATGAAAACAAGTTTACTTATTGCACATGAAATGCATTTTTTCTGAGTTATCTCTATTGACTGGTGAGTTTTGTTTAGTTTTTTAAAAAAGAAGGTAAACTTGGTGTGGGTTTAGACCTCGAGCCATTTCTTAGTGTAAACAGCATTGGAGAAATTCAGACTTCAAAAGCTTAACGTTTTCTGAGCTTCAGAAATCAATTGCTCCATGACTCCAGTCAGGCCACACAGAAAGACGGTGAAAATGCTTTCATCCATCTTGCTGTGGCCCGGTTGGGCTTTTCCTGCCATGTTGGAAGCATTGATCTCTGACTGTCTGAAGGTCCTCTCTCTCTCTTTCTCTCTCATGTCATGCAGTTCAGAAGTCTGGCTGAATTTATTGTCTCAGTTTATGGTCGGGCTGAGCAAAGTGCAATCTGGTTGTCTGGACAAACTCTTCGAGGACCAGAGAAGAAGGGAGGGACGTGACAAAGGGGGCCTGGATTTGTACATTGCTGCATTTTGGGATCACTTTTTGTTTTTTTAAAGGAATTTAACACAGTAAATTGCTGACAGACATGAGCAGTTTTATTTTTAACCACTGGCACAATAAAGATAAAATGTCTTCATGTTTGTCAGTTTATAGTTGTTTTTAAAGAAATTAATTAAAGTCATTCAAATGGCGCGATATGATACAATCCTTCACGTGTTTTCATGTGTTTATATGGTGGCGGTGGTGGTGGGGGGTGTACCTGCAAGCTCCACCTTAGACAGTAAAGCCATAAACTCAGTTATCCTCTACCTCAGATCCTTCTTCAAAACATATAGGCCCCCGACTTGCTGATTGCTTTATTGATATCGATCTGGGCAAAGTGTCGAACCACTTGTTCATCTCCGTCAGAAGCGGTTAATCGGTATTTATGCAGTGGGAGGAGATGGGGGAGGTTGACACAAACAACGTCTGAATGAAACAGAGTCCTGTAGGTGTAAGGGCATAAGGGAGCAGGAGGCTCAGTGCCAGTTTATCAGGTACTCTGTATTAACGCAGAATAACTGAAACACGTGTCCACAGTGAGCCGTCACAAATACATCCATAAAAATAACCAGGCGAGCTTTAAAACCCCAATCAATAATCCATGCAGT